AATGGAATAAAGTGCATCTATTGAGTCCCTGGTTCCTTGCAAACCTTGACTAGTTAGCAAAGCTTGACTGCCTTTTGCTGCTTTGTTTTACTAGAGTTTTTCACTGGAGCTGTAGAGCATTTCTGTGTGTCTTAATTGGCTATTAAGGGCTTGCAGTGCTGCTGGGGTGGAGACCAGGTGAGTTCCCTTGGTGGGAAAGGAGAAATAGTTATCCTGAGTAACTTCAGGCTGAAATGGCTTTGAGACAGGCTGAGTGGTTTGAGTTGGCTGTTTTGGTGGATGCCTCTATTAGCCAGGGTGAGCTGCAGCAATATACATTTGGCATCTTCTTCCCTCTTTTCCAGAAGTGACAAAGATTCTTCTGTTTGCTGCACAGGCTTCACATCAGCTAGTACCGCCTGAGGTCAGTACTCCACATGTGCTTGGTGATGTTAAAAAAGGACAGCAGACCAGAATGGAACTGAGTGCATTCATGGGGAGGGGTAAAAGGGAATCTGGTCAGATCCTTAGTCTTTAAAAGCTTACTGTAATTTTGGCTACTTCAGCAAGTTCCAAGGGTTTTTTTTCTATAAAGGGGAAGAAGACCCAAACCCATGTCTTATGCCTTCATTTCTGCAAGAGAGAACTTGTCACTAGAACCTGCAAATATTTTCTAGACAAGTCCTGAGCTCTTTCTGTGAAGGTGTTCTTTTGTGTGTTAATATATAATCATTTTGCCAATTTTATTAAATATGCATTGTTAATTTAACCTTTTTTTTCTTATTTTTAGATTATCCAGTCGGTGTTAATGACCATTGCCAACAACTTTGTTACTGACAAGAATTCTGGGGAGGTCATGACTGTAGGGTAGGTACAGAATAGTAAAAACCTGTAAAACTCTGAATGTAGACAAATATTTATTTTTTGAATGACCTGCAACTTTTTCCTGTCATTTGTACTACTCTTTACAGAACCTGCTTGATTAAAAATTAGTTAGGACAGTCTCTCAGCAGAAACTTCCCTTATTGTTGTTGTTGGCAGTGGTTTAAATTCCTCAGAAGGATGGGTTTCTGGGCTTGCTGTGGCTTAACTTTTCTGGATTTATGATGGTGTGGGTTTTCTGCTTTCTGGTTTGATCTTCTATTTTTCTTGTTTCCTGGATACTGTTATTTCTGCTTTGGGGGCAGAGCTTTTGTCTGTGAATTAATATATTGGTATATACCTATATATATTATAGATATATGTATACACACACACATATACTGGTATATACTCAGTGAGTGGCTAGTGTCCTAGTTCAGGATTCTGAATTTTGTTCTGTGGATCAAATGTCACTACTGACAAGTGTAAATGTTGCTGTTAGTGAAACTGTTACATACTTTCTAGAAAGAAATAACCTCTCTGACCTTCTAGTCAATGGCTGGAGAGTAGAGTAGGGGCCAAAGATGGGTGGTTTTGGAGAACCGTGGCACAGAGCTCCTTGTCCTGTTCTCTTACACTTTTGTATAAATGCTGTATAAGGTTTTTCAAGTTCCAGATCACTCTGTCTGTTTGGTGGCCAGTGGGAGCCTCTCCCAACTGTGGTGTTGACAAAATAAATCACTTGCCATTTTTCAGAATCAATGCAATAAAAGAAATCACTGCAAGATGTCCATTGGCCATGACTGAAGATCTGCTCCAAGACCTCGTTCAGTACAAGACTCACAAAAATAAAAGTGAGTGTTTTACTTAGATATGATTTAAAAACTCTTTTCCTGTATCAACTGGTTCTCCATAGGTGCAGCCTTCACAATAGTGATGTCTTAATTTTTTTTTATTTTTTTTGGTGGGCTGAGAGGTACAGTTTTCTATGTTAATTGCATTTCTCTGTATTTTATGTGTATAAATGTAGGATATAAAATAATCAAGGGTAGTTGTGCCAGGGAAACTAAGTGACAAAGCCAAAGAAGGGAAACAGCTTGTTAATAAAGATTTAGTCCTAAGGAAGAGCTGGATCCTGCACTGGTGAAATTAGAGGGAGTTTATAACTTCAGAGGAGGCATGAGCGGCTTTCAGCTCAGAAGTCTGCTTTTCTGTATTTAATCCTGATTCCCTATTTTCTGGATAGATGTGATGATGTCTGCAAGATGTCTGATACACCTGTTCCGTTCCCTAAATCCAGAGATGCTGCAGAAGAAATTCAGGGTAAGTGTTATTTTATGTGCATTCCACTAGCCATGAACATAGGCTCATGTTATTCCCCTGCCTTTCTGACTTGGTGTCAACTTATTTCAAGATTCCGTTAGTTCAGATTTATCAAACTCATGGACAGAAGCCTGTAACTCGTGTTACAGAAGCCTGACCATCTTCCTAGAATTCATTCAACTTCCTAGTAACTAAAGATCTTCTCTTAGTTTATCAGGTAGAATTTCTTTTGCACCTTCCTCCCCAGACTTTTTGATATATGTGTGGACATTAAAATATTAGCCTGTTTAACATGTGTTTTGTTAACTTGTAGGGTAAACCTACTGAGGCTTCATTGGAAGCCAGGATCCATGAATACGGAGAACTGGATGCCAAAGATTATATTCCAGGAGCAGAAGTACTGGATGTCGAGAGTCAACAGGAAAAGGGAGGAACCCACGAGGAAGGTTGGTCTTTTTTTCTTTACTACTTCTATAGTGAGCATTGTTGTCACTAAGATTTTATTTGGACATAAAACTTGGTGTGTGTTGACTTTATCTGCTGCTGTCACATGCTGTATGGCTTGCACATAGAATCACAGAATGGTTTGGATTGGAAGGGACCTTAAAGATCATCTAGTTCCAGCCCCCCTGCCATGGGCATGTCTGTGTCTGTCCAAGAAGCACTCATACTATGCTCGAATAAGTGCAGTTTACCCAGTGAAGTTTGATACTCTGTGTTGCTTGTTATGATAGATACTGAAGGACAGAAAAGCAGAGGGACAGATGTTTTACACCTGTGAAACTTCAGGCGTTAAGCCTCTCTCCCTAGAGGAAAGTTTTTGTGTATTATGAAACACTGGAAATGAACTTTGAAGTAGTATTTGGCAATCCAAGCTTAAATTATTTCCAATTCAAGCAGTTAAGCAGAATCTGTATTAACAGCTCTCTGTGCTTCTTCCCCTGAGCAGATGGATGGGAAAGTGCTAGTCTGAGTGAGGAAGAAGATAATGAAGATGGAGAATGGATTGATGTGCATCACTCTTCAGATGGGGAGCAAAAAGAAGTAGTGAGTTCTATGTGTCTTCTACCCCAAATATATATCTTGGTAATATCAGACCAGATTCTCTTGCTCTGCACCTTGACGCAGCTGCTCACAAATAACTATGCAGGGCTGTGGAGTAGCTTGACCAGGATCAGTGGGGTTGAAGTCCCCTTCAGCTCTTGTGCAGAAGTACCCATGTTGTTAGGTAAGGGAGAGAGGCTGGAAACTCTGTCCCAGGGCTAAACTCCTTCAGAGCTGTGATACTTACATGAGGTTCTTTTACTCACTCTGGAATGTGGGGTGGATCTTTATTCCAGTGCTACATGTTGGGTATAAGACTATAAAGAAACCTTATAGCTGGTTGTAGCATTTCCCAACAATATTGCTCCTACGTAAGTATTTGGGAGGCAGAGGCCATGGATTGGGCATAACAATGGTTTGCAAAGCTCTGGATGATTCGTGTTTTGTACTTCTTTGAAAAGGTAGAGAAGGTGAAAAGCATGCCCATAGATGAACGAAAAGCCAAAGCTGCAGCAGTCAGTACAAGCAGGCTGCTCACTCAAGAAGAGTTCCACAAAATACGTCTTGCCCAGCTTTCCAAAGAAGTGAATTCTGCACCTGGCAAAGCTGCAAAGAGGAAATACATTGAAATAGATGAAGAAGAGGAGGAGGGCAGGTGGGATATGGACTACTGATGAGTTCTTTCTCTTCCCTCTATCACTTATAATCTGGTGATACAGCTTTTAACTGCAGCAGAGCATGGAGCTCTGCTGTGGGTCAATATCTCCTGGTGACACAAGGCAAAGAGCCACACAGCTTAGAACAGATCTTAGCTGGAAGATTTGTTTATATCTGGGAGAGAAGACAAGAGGAGCTGTTGGAAACCATGAGTCTGTTTTGCTTGTTCAGACCAATGGGTGGGAGGGGGTTTTATAGCAGTAGTTGCATGACTGTATTTCCAGAGTGCATAAACTTTATGTGTAAAGCAGGACTTGAAAACAGGAATGAGACTTATGTAAGTGTTGTCCCAAGCCTGAGGATTAGACTGAGAACAAGAAGTGTTTGTGTGACAGTTTGTGGAAGGACAATTATGTAAGAGCTGAGCGTGAGACCAAGGTTCAAGAGGGCATCTTGCTGTCCTTGCCAGGTGAAGTTTTGTTTGTGATGGCCTTCTGTTGGGTTTTTGTGTGTGTGTGCAGGGGAGAGCTGCTTTCACTCAGAGATATTGAACATCTGCACAAGAAGCCTAAATCAGACAAGGAGACCAGGCTGGCAACTGCAAAGGTGAGGATCTAACAGGAGATTTCATGTCCTTTGTCTCTCTAGATCTAGGTTTGTGTTTGTCTCCTGCAGAAGGAGGAGGTGGTGGAGAGCATCTGTAAGAGAGATGTCCACCTGCCGTCTGTGTGCTGAGAAATGTTTTGTATAGTTTTTTTTCTGTTGTATCTTGGCTGTAACAAATAAACAGCCTCTTGCTGGTTACAAGTGACAATGAAAATAGACACACCCAGATTTCACTGTGACTTAAATACAGTCAGCATGGAAAAATGCACGACAAAGTCATACTCAACCTGCATTTACTGTTACTGCCATAGAACCTCTCGCCTTAGTAGATGATGTTAACTGTATGGAATGAAAAATTATGTTAAATTATGTTGTCTATTTTAGGCTGGAAAAACAGACAGAAAAGATTTTGTGAAAAAGAAAACAAGAATTAACCCATTTGCCAGCTCTTCCAACAAAGAAAAGCAAAAGCACAAGAACTTCATGATGATGAGATATAGCCATAGTGTCCGGACAAAAACCAAGCGGTCTTTCAGGGAAAAACAGGTAATGTTTAATGTTGAAAATAGATGGGCCATTCTGAGAGTAAACTTAAAATGCAGGCAAAGTGCTGTCTATCCTGTGCCCTCAGTCATTGCTGCTGATTTTGATGGTTTAATTGCTGGAAAGGCCTTTGGGTGAGATGGCTTCTTGTGAACCCTGTCATGAGGAGGTAATTCAGAGATGGTCACAGTGAAGAATCCTTTTGTCAGTCTCTGCTTCAATATGCATTGAGAACTAAGCCCAGTTGCCAAGTCAGGTGTAGGTTAGGAAGGATGTGATAACGGTTTGTTTTCCCTTATGTAAATTGAAGATCATATTAGAACCCTGAATATAATACTGTGATAGAAGTAGCTTCCCTGATATGGAGAAGTGTTTTTTGGGACAAGCTTTTAGTATGTTTCTTCACTCTATTATTTCTTTGACCTTTCTCCTGTTACTGCCATATTTTGGACTCATCTGACCTGGCCTGGCTTGGCTTTCAGGTCCTCTAATAGCTTGTCATAAATGTACTTAAAGCACAGACATAAATGTTACTTGCTATCTATCTGAAGCTGTTTAGGAAAACCAAAAAGGCTTCAGTTTAGCTTGCCATAGTATTTTCACCATGTGCCACTCTCATTAGCGAAGCCCTGCTCTCTGCTGCTTCCTTAGCTCTAAGCTTGGCTGTGGCCCTTGGGAAAGGCTATACAAATGTCTATTTGACGGTCCAGTTATGGTGTGTTTCTGTAGGCAGCCATACCAGGGGTGGCTAAAGGGATATTGGAAAGGCAAGGCAGAAACTTGAGGGGATGACTTATCTAACCCCAGGCACATAGGACAGCACAGCTTCCAAGAGAGGCATGTGGACAGGGAGCCCCCTTCTCCTGTGGTGCCCCTCAACTGGGCATCAGGCCTGAACTGTGTGTGGCAGCTGTTGCTGGAGCACTGGTGTAGACATACTGCCTTGCCCTGCTGTGTTTCACCTTGGTAGAGTAAGTCAGTGCTAACAACAACAATATGCCTTAAAATCCTTTTATCTAACCTGGCAGATGGCCAGTCTAGGGCTTTACAGGGTGTTACGCATTTGGACTCTTTGAACATGTTCCAAGAAAAACTTCTAGAATAATGCAGTTGTGTGGTGATACTTTTTTGTACTGTCTCGTGCTAGAGTGTATTCAGATGCTTCTTTTACAAAATCTCCTTTGTTTCCAGGATCATATCATTAGGGTAATGTCTATTTGTCTGCAGTTCCTTGCCTTAAGAGTGGCAAGTGTGAAACAGGTTATAGACTCAATAGAGAAAGAACGTCTTGTGTGTTTCTGTTAAACAGGAAGACTTGGACTGATATCCCCTGTAGTCTTTTTATTTGCTATCATTCTGCCTTACCACAAATAAGGCTGACCATATTCACCCAGCTCTCAAACACACAAAGTCACAAACCAACAATCCAGGCACTTAGAGGAAACTGCTGTTACAATGATTTTTTTTTATGCTTGGCTCCCTTTTTCTAAAAAGCCATCTTGAATGGTTTCAGTACTCCCCCCTAATGTTTCAAATTTAAATGTAAAAGCCAAATGGTGAAAGAATAAATACTTCATTGTTTTCACAGAAAGTTAGGCCACAGCATCAGTTGTGTGGGCCATGATATGGAAATAATTGTTTAAAGTGGATTAGAGTACTACAGTTATAGGACACTGTGCTCTGCTTCCCACTTTGGTGGTAGAATAAAACAGACTGTTGTCTATAGATTGGATACAAGGAAGAAGTTCTTTACTCTGAGGGTGGTGAGGCACTGGAATGGGTTGCCCAGGGAGGTTGTGAATGCTCCGTCCCTGGCGGTGTTGAAGGCCAGGTTGGATGAAGCCTTGGGTGACATGGTTTAGTGTGAGGTGTACCTGCCCGTGGCAGGGGGATTGGAACTAGATGATCTTAAGGTCCTTTCCAACCCTAACTATTCTATGAGTCTATGATTCCGTAGCGTAGTGTTAGAACCCCTAAAAACATGTCTGAAATACACACCAAATCTCTCTCTAGTCATGTGGCACTTGTAGAGGTTTCTAGCATCCCTCCTTCCCACCTTGAAAAGAAGCTTTGTAATACTCTTTCAAAAAATGCCATTTAATCCTACTTACTGCTCAGCTGAAGTTTTTTTTCTTGATCTCATCTAACTGAACATGAGTCAGTAGAAGGACAGTTTATGTTAATCTAATCTTCCTCATTATCTAGGGTTTTCTAATGATGTACAAAACTTTTTTTTTAAAGCCCCACTCTTTTTTGAATTGTGCTACTGACTTTAGCTAAATAACCACAGCATTTCTACTACCTTACCTGTTAGCATTGGTCAGTTATGCTCCCAGTTGTAGCTGATAAGCTGCTAGTGTTTTTTTGGGGTGGAAAAAATCAAAGAGGGCTGTTGATGCGAGTGTTGCTGTCTCCTTACCTGAATATTCCCCTCCTGTTTTCTATTTAGCTGGCTCTTCGAGATGCACTTCTGAAAAAGAGAAAACGGCTGCTGAAGTAACAGAACAGTAAAGGAGAGGAATATTTCATCACCCTTGAAGAAACAGCCCTAGAAATGTTTATTTCCACTCACCACTCCCTGCAAAGGGATGAAGGGACTCAAATGCCTTAAGGATTTATCTCTGTCTGTTACGAATTAAACTGAACATGTTCAAGCTGTTGGAACTGCATCTCTAGGACAGATAGAAGAGGCTTTAATCCTTACAGGATTTATTTTTTATTTTTTTTATTTTAATGATTGTATCGCTTGTCTTTTATTGAATATGATTTCCTTACACCTGGTTTTGTATGTGTAAGTATGAAAACGTAAAACCTCATGGTAAAATTATTTTAAGCAATTCATGAATAGGTAATTGGAAGAAAAAATAATTTTCTGTCTCAGTCTATAATGTGTGTGTATATAATGCGTGCACCTGTCTTGGGGACATGATTCTGTGGACTGAATAAGCCATTATATAAGTGGCTGGGTTTTGCCAGTATAATAAAAGCAATTTTTTCTAATACAGGTAAGTTCAAGTGAAGAGCTAGGGCAAAGAACAATCTCATTATTGATTGCAGGAATAAAATTAGCATATAGGAGGCAGTTTTTCTGTTGCCATTGAAATAGAAATGTAGGATTACACACAGGAGAACTAAGGAATCTTCCCTTGTCAGTACATCTTGTGGTGGGAGTTGCTCTTGTCTGATCTTTTGAGGATTTTTTGAGGTATGCATGAAAATAACATTGAACCTTTGGGTTCTTTGTCAAAAGTAACTCCTGCTTTAGCCAAATGTTGAGGGGGTTACTGGTACCACCATCCTTTCTCAAATGCTGTTTGAAAGGGTTTCCTTATGGAGCAGTATATTATGCACAGTATAATGGAAAGCATTCAATAGGGTGTTTATTCCCTTTCATGGGAAAGCAAGTCCGTGTTTACCCACATGGGAATTCACTCAGCTATATTTATGTTTAATACTCAGTTGTCTTTAATTCCTATTAGTTGTTTTATTTGTGGGTTGTTGTCACATCTTGCCTCCTCAAGCCGAAAAGCTTATAGAGGTGTGGGGGAGATAAAGAACAAAGTTTCTACAGCTTTGAAGGTTACTTTTATTAAATGCTCCTTCTGATGACAAGGCAGGGGTTGTGACAGCAAGTGGAGGATGTGTAGCTGAGGTCTGGAGATGCAAACGCAGAGGAGCAATCCTATGGGGCTGAAGAGACCACTGAAACAGGAGAAGCACTCACATAAAATGCTCTTTCACTAATTCCATTTTCTGTTGAAGAACCGAAGCCCCCTTCCCTGGATGTGCAGCTGTCCTAAAACTAAAGATTTGGAGGCTGAAAGGGGGAGGCAATTACTTTTTATACTCCTTAGCGCAAGTGTCTAGTCTCCTCCCTTTTTTCCCTCTTGTTTACAGCACTCGGAGAGCCATGGGCTGTGGCTGTCTCCCCTCCGCTACCCTATTGGACTGCCTCTTCCACACTATTAGCCAAACACAGCCCCGGGCACTGCAGTACAGAAACTCGCCGCTCGTTTACTCCTCCGTTCTTTCACTACCCCCCCCTTGTCCCGCACGTCCTTCCTCTGGCCGCGGCTGACCTGACACCACGAGCGCCTCCTCTGAGGCAGGGGGCGGCCGTCGCCATGTCCGGGCCCTTCCCCTCGGCCTGCCCCCTGCCGGCGGAGCTGCTCCGAGCGCCGCGGCCGGTCCGGCGCTATGTGGTGGGCGGCGGCGCGGGGGTCTCGGCTGTGGGGGCTGCTGGCGCTGCTGTGCGGGGCGGCGGCGGCCCCGGCTCTCCCCTTGGCTGCGCCGCTGCTGTGTAATGTGAGCCTGGACAGCCCCGCCGAGGAGCGGTGGCTGCCGGTGCTGCGGCACTTCGACCCCGCCTTCCTGCGCGCCGCCGTCGCACGGGTCATCGAGTGAGTGCGGGGATGGGCAGCCGGGGAGCGGGGCGTGAGGTGGCTGGGGCGGAGGGAGCAACCAGGGTTGCTTTTCTCCTCTCCCCACCGCCGCGGAGCCCTTGGGCCGCCAAGACCCGCTGCGTCGTGGCCTGAAGGAAGAGGGTGAAGGGATGCAGCACAGCTGCTGACCTGCGCCGACCTCGGGAATTCAGGGGGGTTTGGGCGTTAGCGTAGTACGTTTACATTATTCGTACACTTGGGAACCTGTCAGAGGCACACGTCTTTTGCTTGGGTTGTGCAGGCTTCTTGGAGGATGTGCAGAAGCCAGTGGGATTTAGTGAGGGAAGGGATGCAGGGATGTCTGATGCAGCGTGGGAGAGGCTGGGGATGAGCGGTCAGCGCCGGCTGGGACCGGCTGCCAGGGAAGTGGCAGAATTCCCCGGTGTCAGGCTGCTGAGTGTAAGTTGCAGACCTTTTTGTTTCTGTCTCTGCTCATGCCTTGAGTGTGTTTTGCAGTGAAAGCGTACCAAAATGGGTTCACGAAGTTATTCGACCCATAGCAGTGGAATTGGAGTTCCTTATGCCACAGCCCTTCGCGGGGGAAATGATGGGACTGTGCAGAGCCTTGGGAATAAGTCTTGGAGATGGAGTCCTGCTTAACTTTGCCTACGAATCTACCGCGTAAGTGCTACTTAGAGGATCTGGTAGGAATGGGTGCTGAGAGTCATTTTAGGTCGATCTGGGAGAATGCATTAAAAGGCAGGTGTAGACATGTGGCAGATTATTTGTGCTGTTAATTCTCATACTCTTTCCTGTGTCCGGCGGGAAGGTTTAATTCTTATTAGGCAGTTGTATCCTGAATTGAAAGAGAAATACAAACAGTGTTTTTATCTGTTGATAAAGGTAATATATAGCTGCATAAATAAATACAGGTATGAGAATAATTTTTGCTAATCAGGAAGGACCACCAATTCAAAGTATTTGTGTTAATTTGTCTTTGATCATGTAGTACAGTCTTTTGTAATTTAAATTGTCTAATTTCACTAAAAAGGAACCTAGAAAAATTAGCTGCAATCTAGTTATTTTAACCTTTTGTCTGAGATCAGGTTGCTTCCCAGCCTGTTTCTGGATGAATGTTCTCAATGACTGCGTAATGTAATCTTTTGATTTGCACAATGGAAAATGGATGTAGTATCTTTATGATAGAAAACAAAACATCAGTGGAAAGAATACTCAGTTTTGTTGTCTTTTTTTCCACCTACAAGCACGTGCAGGAGAGTAATAAAAACTTGGTGTTGCCTGTGAAGAGCCTAAGAATATTTCTGTATATAGAATCAATATAGGTTGTTCTAAAAACAAGGCACACACAGCTGCTTGTATTTATTTTTATTATGATTTTTCTTCTGGTATTTGGTTAAAGCAGTCTTTCTTTTAATAGGCATTAATATCACATGGGGCAGTCATTTAAATGTTGGCTCTCTTAGTACTTCACAAAGGATGGGTATCATTCTTAACCCTGGTAAAGCCCATGAGATTTTGAGTTTCTCAACCTTAATGTTACTAAAGAAAAACATCAGCTGGGAGCAAAGTACTTGTTTGGTGAATTTTTTACCTTTACAGTTCTGAAAGGCAGTGCTGGGTATCACTGGAAAGACATAATAATTTTTGAATTCTCTGCTCATTCAGGATTTCAGCCCACTTCTTGCTCTAGAGGGGAGGTTAGGTTATTACTGAGACGGCTGACACTTTAACAACAACTGAAAGAACTTTGTTAGAACTTTTTATCTAGTTGTGATTAAAAATGTGAGTGGAGTCTGAACTGAGATGAAATAGTGTGCAGTTGTCAGAATGAAATCCAGAATGTTGTAGACTGATGTTTTGTGGACATTTTTAGATGTTGGCTTTTCTTCTCAATTTAGAAGTGAAATAATGAAACTGGAAATAATGAAATAATGAAGTAAAATGAAATAATGAATGCTTTCCAACTAGAATTGCTGCTTCCTACCTGGTCTGTAATATGTGACCTGATAAGTAATGTACAGTTTTGTGTGTTAGCCTGTGTGGAACAGGACTTTCCCTTATGAATATTGTGCATAAACCATATGGAGTGTTACGCAGTTATGCAGAGCTTCAGTCAAACCATTCTGACTCCCCTTTTGGTTTTTTCCAATTTTAAATTAAAGCCTGTCAGAAACTTTATCTGAAAGTACCGGATGAGACTGTGCTCTCAGGTTGGGAAACATAGGTGTTAATGCAAACTCCTAGTTGTATGCTTACATTAGTAAAATACTTTGCAGAAGATAAACTCAGTTATTCCTTCTGAAATGTTAACTCTAATATTGCAAGTGTTGTCATAGCCTTTTCTGAAATCATTCTTTCTTCTTTTTGTTTGGGAAGGTTCTGTACTAGTATTGTCGCTCAGGATGACAAAGGAAACATTTATCACGGTCGTAACCTGGATTATGATTTTGTTGATATACTAAGCAAGATAACAATTGATGTGCAGTTTATAAAAAGCGGGCAGGTATGATCTGTGGTTGATGTGGCTGGGTGATATTCCATGAAGGAATGTGGTATGGTCATATGGCTGCATAGGCAGCTGGGATTTAATGTAGGAATGTGGCTCACTTCCCAGGTTTAATGGATTATTAGAGTGCTGCAGTCACTCTCTCCAGGACTCTGGGATGATTCCTGGGTTTCTTTGCTTTCTGGACATTCAGCTTGTGGTGATAAACTGGAACAAATAGAACATGATCTAGTATCTCAAGATCATTGTTTGGAAGAAGATGTTGAAGGAAGGAAGTGTCAAGATAATAAAAAAGAAATACTAGAGAATAGAGATCAGCCTGGGCAGGGACTGACTCCAAGGCTTTTTTTTTCCCTAAGGCCTTGTTAATTTTTATGACCAAAGTGTGTTTCTTAGAAAGAAGTAGAGTTTTCTGCTAGAGAATGTTGCTTGTATTTGAAGTAGTATTCTGTTCCAGCATGCTGACATCCTGCGTCTTTCCTGGTTTCAGATAGCGTATCAAGGCACCACATTTCTTGGTTACGTCGGGTTATGGACTGGACAAAGTCCACACAAGTTCACAATCTCCGGTGATGAACGAGGTGAATAAATCTGTCTTCGGCACTTGATGTAATGTACACTGTTTTATTGAT